AGGGGAGGAGAAAAGAGATGAGAGAGAAGAGAAGGAGAAGGAAGAGAGAAGAAGGACGGGATCGAGAGAAGAAGAAAAAGAGGAAGAGGAAGAAGAGAAAAAAAGAGAAAAGAAGAAAGGAAGGAAGGAGGTAAAAGAAACAAAAGAAGAAGAGAGTAGACTGTAGACAGAAGAAAGAAAAGGAAGCGAGTTAGGAGTAGAATGGGAAGGAGGGAAGATGATTGGATTGGTATATAGGGCGCGTTGTGACCAAGGAAAAAAATGAAGAAGAGGAGGGAGGAGAGAAGAAGTAGGGGGGGAAAGGAAGGGCGAGGAGAAGAGAGATGGGGAGAAAGGAGAAGGCGAGGAGAAGGAGAGGACGAGGAGAAGGAGAGGAGGCGAGGAGAAGGAGGAGGGGGAGGGGAGAAGGAGGGAGAGAAGGCTGGAGAGGAGGAGAGGAGGAGGGAGGAGGGCTAAGGGGGGTGGTCAAATTCAAGAGCAGTTCAGACGCACAAGTGGGCAGATCCTCGGTAAACTCCGCCGTCCTTACACCAAAAACTCTTTATCGACTGTCGAGGGTCAAGTGGAGGTCCGTGTAGAGGAGAGAGAGAGAAGAGGAGGAGGGGAGAGAAAGAAGAGGAGAGAGAGGGGTGAGTCGTAAGAGGAAAGGAAGAGAGAGAGGGGGTGAGTGAGAGGAGGAAAGGAAGAGGGGTGAGGTGAGAGGGAGAAGGAATGAGAGAAGGAATGAGAGAGAGAGGTGGAAGGGAGGGAGAGGTGCGGAGAGAGAGAAAGTGAAAGAAGAGGGAGAGGGGAAGGAGATGAGGGGAGAGAAAAAGGAAAGGAAGAGGAGAGAGAGGTGGAAGGAGATGAGGGAGAGAGAAAAGAAGGGAAGAGGGAGAGAGGAAGGATGAGGGTGAGAGGGAAGGAAAATGGAGAGGGAGAGGGGAATTGAGACAGAAAGGGAGAGGGAGAGAAAGGTGGAAGGGAGAGAAGGGATAGAGTTGAGAGGACAGAAGTGAGAGACAGAAGAAGAGAAAAAGGACGGAAAACAATGGAAAGATAGAGGCGAGGAGAGTTTAAAAGAGAATGATAGGTATACGTGTAAAAAAAAAAAAAAAAAAAAAGTTGCGGCTCTAAGGTACTTAAGTTGAGTTTTCTTCCGGACATTCCAAGCTTAGATGTAAGATGATATTAACACCTGTGCCTCGCTGTTAGTGCTGGAGATGAGGCCTTGTTGGATCACGGTAAATCGAAGGCAATTAATGATTTATCGGCTGATTAGGACAGTATATGGCGACTGTGGAGTCCTATTTGGTCTTCTCTTCTCTCTCTTTCTCCTTGTCTACTATCGCTTTCTTCTCTTTCTTTTTTCTCCTCTCCCTGTCCCTCCCCTCCCCTCCCCTCCTGTCTGTTTCTCTATCGGCCTCTCTTCTCTCTCTATGGTTCTCTCTTCTCTCTCCTGGTCTCTCTCTCTCCTCTCTCTCTCCCTCTCTCTTCTCTCTCTCTCTCTCTCCTCTCTCTTCTCTTCTCTCTCTCTCGCTTCTCCTCTCTCTCTCTCTCTTCTCTTTTCTCTCTCTCTCTCTCTCTCTCTCTCTCTCTCTCTCTCTCTCTCTCTCTCTCTCTCCTCTCATCTCTCCTCTCCTCCTCTCCTCTCCTCTCCCTCACCACACCTCGCTTCTTCGGCTTACCTCTCATAACCTTCCTCCGCCTCTGCCTCTCCATGCTCCCATCCACTCGGCCATTTCGTCCATCTACTCTCGTACTCATCCTACCACATTTTCCTTTCATCCTCTTTCCCTCTCTCTTTTTCTTCTTCCTCCTCCCTCCACCTCCCACACCTCCTCTCCACCTCTCTCACCTTCTCTTCCCCCCCTCACCTCCACCCACCCTCCTCTACCTCCTCCTCCCCTCCTCCACCTCCCCTCTACGTCCTC